TGTCTGCTAAGGAAAAGGTCTGTTTAACTTCAGTTTCACTCCACATTTCTCCCCCTCATTTTACTTTTATATAACTGTAAATGGAATGTAATATTTTCCATTTGCTTTGTTACCTGCTCTTCACTGATTCATTGTAATAAGTTGTTGCATTCGGTTGTTCCTATTTTAGAAAATTTGAATTACAAAAAAAGACAATGAAATAATGAATATTTGCAGCCCTAAATGTATGATTAGGTAATCAGGATACAGCCAAAAAATCTGCATCCTCTCCATCCACTCTAAAATCATAAAGGCTATATTTATAAAAACCAACATAACATCTATGGTTAACCACATAAGTGGGCTGAAAACACCAGTGGATGAAGTAGCCAGTAATTCTGAATCAGAATTGATCTAAAAACAGCAATCTACCAGTACAGAGCAGTCAAAGTTATTTTTATATATATATATATCTATATATAATGTGTGTGTATGTGTATGTGTATATATATATACATATATATATTATAGCCACATAAAAGCACAAACTATACCCCCTCCCCCTCACAGAAATACAGCCCTGGACATTACAATTAGGCTAGAGAGAGGAGAGGTGTTAGTGAGCATGTGTGTGTGAGAGTGAGAGTTAGAGAGAAAGGAACACACAATACTCTTCTAGTCTCCCGTGAGAGGAGGAATCAAGACTTCAAAAATGGCCCTTTCTGTGAGAAACATTTGGCTTCAGTGCAACAACACACACGCAGCTCTCCACTAGAGCTCAGCCATCACTGCGGATAATGAGCCATGAATATCATTAGCACAACACACCCGGCTGCATGCACCACACACGCTGTATATCGTTACGCTTTTACTTTCAGAAATGTTCTTTGAAAAGCAAGACAGCACACTCATCGCAGTTCGTTCAGTACACGAAAGTAATACATTAGAAAGATGAGATGATCTTAGTGGAAAAAAATACAGCAGCTACTAAGCTTCCATTTTTCATTTTTGGTGAATGTAGAGAGCTGTAATAATTAACAATCCAGCCTTAGAATGTAACATTGGACAGTTATAGTATATTATTATTGTATTATAGTATTATTGTTTTTTTAGGTGTATGTTTTTAGTAGCCTTTACTAAAACCATGTGGGTTAACCACTGCCACCTTACAGAATAGGCCAGTCCGCTACTTCAGACATGGCTGTAGCAATATCAGAACAGAAAGGGTCAAACTATAGCCGCTTTCACACAAAGATCCCATTATAAACACGGAAAAGTATGCCGCATTCGCTCATTCATACTGAACAAAATATTACAGCATATAGCCACAACTGTGTGTGCTTTCACATAGCGATCCGGCTTTCCGGGTTACCTGCAAAATCCACTGAGTCCGCCTGCGCCGCAGCTGCAGGAGCTAATCCGGTCAATTTTTAAAAATAAAAAGACTCTGTGAAGACTCCCGATTGTAAATTAACAGAGACAAAAAAAAACCATTTAACTAAGTAGACTACTTAATCACAGTAGAAGCACAAAAAGCAAGCACTGATGACCAAATCAATAAAATCTAAACATGACAGCGAAATCAGGCAGACAAAAAGCTCTGAAGCACAAAAATCACAAGTCAATTTTGAGACGTTTCCAGTGAAAGTTGACGCTGGACTGAGGACGTAACAAAACCTTGGCGCAGCCGGAATCAGTGGACATCCAGAGTTAGACTGTGGGAAAAAAAGAACGTGACTTGACAACAGCGTTGAAACGTCGTGCCTGTTCCAGCAAATCGCAGCCTGCTTTCATGCTCTGTACCTTACAGTGCAGTGAGCCAGCATATTGGTGTAATAATCCCGGAAAATAAGGCAGTCTGGAAGCATAAACAATAAATATGTAAACATGCAGGAATGAGATGACATTAAACAAGAGCCTGGGTGAATCCAATGTATAAGAGAGAAACCAACACTAACAGTCTTTTTTACATACAGCTGAGCTAGTAAAAATGGGAGCTGTGGTTTTTCTGTTTGCTACTGAATTAATTGTTGTTTAACTTTGCTAAAATCTCAAAGGGGTTCTTTTTTTCCTTATTGATAGTAAATAGTAAATGGCTCTCAAGGTCTTGCTCTTGCTGCTCAGTCACCCATTCAGGCACAGACACACACACCAATGGCAGTGAGCTACCACGCAGGTTGGCCAGTCATCGTATCATTCTTCAAAACGACTGATCAAATAAATCTTATGAGAGACTACACTGAGTTGCAGTACATAAGGTAAGAAGAGGAACAAGAGTTAGCACAGAGGTGATATCAAGAGTTAAGCTTTATGGACCAAATACCAAATAGTGGAAAATGCAATTGTTATAGGCTAGCTGTAGCCACCATGACTGACGCAGGTCAAGAACAAGTCTTTAACAAGTATTTTATCTCAGAGCTATGACAAGACAATAATTGTAATAGGAAAAAGAGTTGTAATACACTGAAATTATTTGGTTTTCCGCTGGGTTTTTTTCTGTCATCAATATTACAGTCCTCAGTATGGTGTATAGAGCGGAGTCTATTAACCTCAGAGCCCTGTCAATCTCAATAAATAAAAGATACACTTTGCCTTTGTGTGACCTCAAAGATCCACAGAAAACCAGTTTAAAAAGTACTTTATTAAAATAAAATAAAAACAGTTAAACTGATCTAGACAACATGCTGATTGGCTACAGTCATACAGGCCTAGATTTATCCCTGCCAACACTTTCACTAACTTTAGTTTGAGTGGAAAAAGCGGGCAGAGTAACTTTGCACTTTTGGACTGCTGTGCCAGGCAAGATTAATCAATCCCCAAGTAATTAAATGAATCCATGTCAAACAGTAATTCAAACCCGGTTTGCTGTCCAGCCTACAGCCAGTGCTACATAAGGCCTCTATTCTGCCAAAACTTTCCTCTTTAGAGCCAGTGATTGTTGTACGGAGCTTTAGCAAGGGAGTGAGACTGCTATGTACAGCACACCAAAGCACTCTCGGACAGCCGTGGCGTTCAAGCCCAGCCAACTATCATCAAAGTGCTGGTTTGGCAGCTGCCCTGAGGGAAGGCAGCCAAGGCCAAGTAAGGTTCTAAACCTGATACAACTACACAAGCAGAGGAAGGTGTTAAAGGCATGTCCGCTGGGAACGCTTCTCCGGCAGTATCATGTCGTATGATTCTGCTCAACTCTTGATTAACCAGGCCACAGGACAATGGAGGAACAGCAATGGAGCAGGCCAATACACAAAACACATGTGTCAAAAACACCAAGAAACATGCCAGATAGGGTGACCAGTCAGGTTTTTCAATTCTTGTCCTCCATCTTCACATTCACCTGTTATTTGTATTGCTACTGCACACATCATGGCAGGAAAATTTGCCAGGGCCAAACATTGATTGTGCCACTGTGGCAGTGGAAAATGTTACATAGCTGTGGGTTGCTTGGGTGCAGCAATGACAGTTGTACTTTCTTGAAGCAATAGTTTGACCTCTTGGGAAATCGCTTCATTCTCTTGAGAGTTATCAGAGTAACTTCCTGGAGTCTCTGCTGGTTGCCTGGCAACTTCACATTGATGACAGGTCTCCAGGAAGTCACTGTGCCTGGCCAAAAAAAAAAAATGTCTGACACAAAACCTCCCATGAAAAATACATGTCTTTTTACACTTTGGTTTTTGTACAGATAAAACAAACGAGATATAACGTGTGAATTAGTGAACTTTAGTAGGTGGATTTTGCTACATTTGGACAAAGCCAGGCTAACTCATTCCCTGTTTCTGGTCTTTGTGCTAAACCAACCTGCTGCTGGCTGTAGCTTCATATTGAACGGACAGTTACAGGAGGGGTTTCGATCTTCTCATCAAACTCTCGGCAAGAATGTGAATAAGCATATGTAATCAATTGATAACAAAGACATTTAGCAAACGTCTGTTTAACAAAACTTGCCAAAAAATGCAGCTGGATAGCTACTGTATTTATTTAAATCTAAAGCTATTATTCAAGGGGCACTTTGGCAACATTACAAATTAGTTTTTGGTCTTTGAAGGTTCGAAATCTGCTTCTACACTGAAAGTGTCGTTCAAAGTTCTTTGAGTTATCCTGAGTGGCAGGGACACTGTTTCAAAAAATGTTTTTCAAATTTAATCCTTTCAAAGCTTTGAGCACCCCCAAACACATTTCCATTAAACTCTATTCTGCTGGAGTTGAGGCACAAATGAGCATTATTAGACTCTCAACCACTGTGGTATTTGGGTGGAAAGTGAAGCTTTTAGCTACAAAGCTAACTTGTGAGAGTCAGACAGAGTGCAATGGTCATGGATGAATGAAAAAGTAAAAAGACAGATGAGTTATTAAAACTTCTACAATACTATTCTTAATGCTAGTGTTTCTTGTTTGAACTTTGATTTTGTTTACCGAATATTGTACTTCAAAAAATAGTTTTGAAAGGTGGTTCTTTGGCTCCACCCATTCAGGATTTTGATCAGCTAATAAGATTATTTTTATGTGTGACAAATATTATATAAATTACATAAATATTAGTGAAACTCTCAGGTATGGATTACTGTTCAGGAGGCAGATTTTAGATGCCTTTAAACAAGCTTCCAGTGAGGTAAAAATATATTAATGAAGTACCTTAAATGTTATCATAGTGAGCGTGTTCTTGGCCTACATGGAGTTTACACATTTTCCCCATGTAGCCAAGTCGAGTCGTTTAGTCCTGGAGACTGGACCCTGTACAAGGCGGTGACTAAAGTATCTTATCTAATGATACATGCCACGTAACATTTTCAATCATTAATACCATTAAAGCTGCTACTACTACCACTGCTACTACTGCTACTGCCACTAATGATACAACTCGTACCACTTTTAATAAAAACAGACACATGGACAGACAGAAATACTGATAGGTACATCCAAACATCCATACATACATACTGTCTCAACCCATTAAGATGGATTGTCTTAAAGGTTGTAGGCAGAGTTATGTTGTCCAAAAAAGAAAAACAAAACACAGCACTCACCACTTTGTCCTCCTGCAGCCCAGTCAGCCATTCATGTATAATGAAAAGAAAGACAGAGAGAATGTGAGCAAGGATGATATCTGAAAGCATGGCAATGACCCTGCAGCCCCACAGTATCTCATAGCATGAGGAAAACAGTGCAATACACAGATTTCTAATAATTTTACAGTTACTGAACATAAAAGAATGAACTTCCACTCCTTAATATCAGATTTAAGTTGATACAAGTTCTTATACATAATCAGCAATAGGAGCCTATATGACTTGACGCCTCCATGGTTAAGGTAAAACTACTTGCTTAAGGCTTCATGGTTAAAAGACACATAACTGTTGGTAGAAGACCGGATGCGAATCATAGTTTTGGGTGTCAAAGTCACACGCTTTGAACTATGAACCATCCAGCCTCAGACATTTTGTTCTGGTATAACAACAGCAGGCTAAAACAACTTTCACAACCGCAAGAGGTCGCGTGGCAAAAAAAGATTAGTGTGAAGAACGCTTCTGCATTGTGGGAAATGTTGCTTTCTTTCTAAGGGTTAAATGAGAACACTGACATGACTTCTCATGTCTGTGTTTTAAGTACGGAGGTTGAGCCAGATGGCGATAAGATCAAACCGGAAGCAGGGGAAAACAGCTAGCCTGTTTCTCTCTAAAGCTCCTTTAAGCAAAGCTAGGCGATTTGGCTCTTGACTCCAGCTCCGCACTTAATGCATAGACATGAGGATGGTATACATTTTCTTGTCTAACTTTCAGAAAGAAAGTGAATGTTTGTATTTGATTAATTGTCAGCTATTTTTGTACTTGGTCAACCAATGATGTCATTTATCACTTAACAACTTTCCAGGCTGTATTATTTAACTTTAAAAATTTTAAATTTTTCTCAGCATTAGTTTTAGCTGTTTCCCCTATCACTGCTCTGCACTGTCTGTGTGTGTGTGTGTGTGTGTGTGTGTGTGTGTGTGTGTGTGTGTGTGTGTGTGTGTGTGTGTGTGTGTGTGTGTGTGTAAAATCAACCTTTCAAAGACCTTCTCCCACTGAATGCAGCTGTCTCCCACCCAACACACCACCCAGGACCCCACAGTTGAACTCTCCCCATGTGAGACAGCAACTAATTAGGATGTACATTTGAGTGTGTGTGTGTGTGTGTGTGTGTGTGTGTGTGTGTGAGGTCATTAAGGTCATTAAATGCCACACTAGTGGTGTAGAGCAGGGAAAGAAGGGGTGGGAGAGGGGACGTCACCTATTTCAGAGGAAGACTCGTCTCCCGATGCCAACACACACACACCTGCACCCAGCTGTGTGTGTATAGGGCACCTCCGGACCCCTGGGAGACAGAGACAGAGTGGGAGACCACCCCCCTTTGTCCACAGCTCAGTCTAATGCCCAATTAACCTTTACCAGCGCCTGGGTCACACACATACACACATGAAGGCATAGATCACATTCACACACATATGGAGGCACACATAAATACACAGTAACACACACAGATCCCATAAACAGTAGAGAACGACCAACATCCAGCAACACCAAAAAATACACATCCAGAGCATACTATACACTCGCTTATACTGTACACACAAAAAGACAGGCACGTATGTGCCATGGCTCATCACCTCCACACTTGTTCCAAAAGCTGAGGCCCTGGTATAGTCTGATTGGACATACAGTAGAACACCAGATGGATCTGACCTGGTGCTGTTTTTTGTTTGAGGTACAAGACTGCTGGAAACAGGACTCAACACGTAATCTTTCCCTTACAAATAATTCATACAAAAGTTGGTTCAGACCACTTGACGTTGACTGTTTACAATTTAGATCAAATATTCTAAATCATTTTTAAACCCGAAAGAGTGACGCCTAAAGGAAAAAGACAAGTAACTAAATATTTGAAAAAATAATCATGTTAGTTAAATAATTTAAGTGTAAAAAGAAAATCTTTGCACTTCTCCTTTTGCCTTTAGTCTGTTAACAATAAATAAATAAAATCAAGCTCATGTTATTTCTTCAACCGCTAAGTTTTCTTTTCTTTTCTTTTCTTTTTCGTTTTTGGTGTCAGCCTAGATTTAATCATTAATCCAAAGTGTCAGTCTCAGTACACAGAAATGTTGGAGGAAAATAGGAAATGCGGCTTGCAGGAAATAGGGAATGTATTAAATGTTTGCTGCAAGTAAGGATCTAAATAAAATGTGAAAAATACATTAAAGATTAAAATAAACATAACCTCATCAACCTATTGGTGAACTGATTAGACGAGAAAGGAAAAGCATGACGCTTAATATTTCTATTTAATTATTTAACAGCTAATATTATTTATTAATGTATTCAGTTAACATTTTACTGTCTTTTGTCTCTTTTGGGGCTCCCTACACTTTTCTCCTTCGTTGGACAAGTCACTACAAATATAATAAAACACTTCTATTCTGATGGGAGTGGCCTCTTCTTAGATGACATCAGCTCACTGAATAGTTTGTTGAGTATAAAAAATAATGTGAATCATATGCTGTGGCATTCACACATGTTGGACAGCTCTCACCAACATCAACAAATCAAATGAGGAAACATCTTTTGGAAAAATGCTGTTCATCCCTCCAAATGTTATTTGAAAAAAATCTCATTTTGTAATATTATTACAGTCATATAGCCATCGCTTTGTGTGCTAATGTTATAATTATTTGTGGTCTTCACAGGATATGTCTGAATCAAAGGAAGAAAATGTTGCCTAATTACGTTGACACACAGTGATCCCCCCCCCCGACCCAACTCTCACCGTGTTGGATCGCAGGGACACTCGCCCCCCACAGCGGGCACAGAACTTGGTCTGGCAGTACGAGCACAGGTTCCCGCAGCCGTCTGCGAACTTGGTCTTGTGGCAGATGCCGCAGGTTGGCGCATCGTCCCGGTGAACGGCCGAGCCCGCCGCCACTGTGGCCTGCCGGATCACCGTCTCCCTGTAGCTGGACAGCTGCTGCTGGATACCTCTGGAAGAAATAACACAGGATGGAAACATGAATAATTTCACATCTTTGAAAGTTTATTGTGTTCCAATTAGTAAAAACCAACAATAAATGCACATTGGAAAAACATAAACAAGATTTATGTGTAACATTTGACACCCATCCCATATGCATAATAAAGACATTGGACGCCAAACACATACTACAGACAGAAGATAATAGTTAAGGTACAGTACGTGCAGCTTTGGGGAGCCAATATGACAAAAACTGCCTTTCTGAAAATTGACACATGTTAACACTTGAATAGGACAGTGCTGTATCCTAACATGTTGACGTAGTTCCGTGGGTTGACACGACAAATTGTCTCGCAGCCATTTTGTGAGCTTGGTGTGTGTTGTCCCTAAGAGTCTACAGACATGCTGGTATCTATGTGAGCCAGGATTTGAGCTAAATGCTATGCTAATTGCTATGTCCAAGCGGGAAGCTTCCGGTCAGAGAACTGAGGCGAATGCGGAAGTCCCTTAAACCTGCATTCTATCAAACGGCCAGCAGGGGGCGACTCTTCTGGTCTCAGTCACTAGTTTCATGTCTTCTTCAATCCATCAGGATGTTCATTTAGTAAATTATGGTCCCATTTAGAGGACAACAGACCATAAAGCAGAGTATGCTTCAGTGCGGGATTATCCGTGATTGACAAGTTATTACCATGGCGACCTGTCAATCAGGCTAGAGTGACTTGTACGCACGGCACTCTCTAAATTTAACCAGCGCTGTTGAAAAAGCTTATTAGGAGTTGGTTGTTCACTTTCTCTGGTGAGTACATTTAGTTTTAAGACTGTTATTCGCTAGACAAAAATGTCAGCCCTGTTAAAATGACAGTTGACATGAATTACAGATGCATAGCTAGCTTCACCGTCTCGTCCAAATGTGGGCTGTTTCTCAATACTTTAAAGCTCGGATTTGGCAAGTTCAGCTCGGGAGTACAAACTCCCAGGGACGGGAGCACACAGTCAGTCATTCAGCAATTTTTAACAGCAGCAGACTTGATTACCCATTAGTGGGCGGGACCTCACATCTCCGAAAACGTCGTAGCAAATTTTCAAATCAGCTCTGTCTTGAGAAATTGACCACACATTTGGAGTTCAAACAACTATTCCCACATAAAAAAACTCTTAAAACTGCATTCCGTGACACAATAACAGTGGTCTTATAACTTAAAGTTGTGAGTTTTCTCCTCCAACATTTCCGCTTTTTTGGCAGCGAAATGCATTCTGGGATATCTGACTATCCGAAGTCCACAAAAGTCACCACCGATGCAGGCTCAGTAAAACGGGCAGAGGGAGAACACACCCGGATATTTGACTGTACTTGGCTAGATGCGGACTTTTGAATTGGAACAGTACTTGGGCTGCGAAGGATGACATTTCACAAGTCCACATGAACACAAGTACAGACAAGAACGCAGATTGAGAAACAGCTATGGTCACGTCCGGTGCCGCTGGTTGCAACAGCTCAACATGGCGGCGCCCGATGCCCGAGGCTTCAAAACAGTCCACAAACTAACGGGTGATGTCACGATGACTACGTCCACTTATACAGTCTATGGCTATGTCCCTATGCTTATATGCTCACTTTTGGCAATGTTAAGTTATTGGTATTTGACAGATAATGGTTACCATGGTTGCAATCTTTTTTTAAGGTGTTAGCATGCTAACATTATCTACTGTAATTAGCATAAAACATAAGTTGATTGCCATGAAGTTTTGTACAAACATGTATGGTTGCCAGATGAATGAATCAAAATAAGTTTGTTTCCAAGGCCACCATGAGGTTGATATTTTTGGTTAGAACTAAAATGTCTTGGCTAACTATTAGTTGGATTGCCACGAAATTTGTTGCAGAAACACAGGTTCCCATTGGATGAACCATAATGACTTTATCCCGTGACTTTTCATCTCAGCGCCACAAGTACCTTAAAGTTCAGGCATTTCTTCCACTTACTTGGTCCAGACTGAAATATTTCAACATGATGGATTTGAACAACATTTTGTACAGACTTCCATAGTTCACAGATGTATCGTAATGACTTTGGTGATTTTACACTCGCACCACCAGCAGGCTTGAAATTTTAGATTCAGACAAAAATATCTCTCTTACAACTTTTAGATGCACTGAATTGGATTACTGTAAGTTTGGCAATCCACTAACTCTTCATCTAAATGTCAACCTTTCTAAACGTCCAATACTTTGGCTTGCAACCAAACACCTGCAAAATTATCGAAAATTCCATCTGTTTCTACTGATAGCTGTTGAGACATTTCAGTCTGGACCAAAGTGGTGGACTGAATGACCAACCAACAAACCCTTCCATTCCTATAGCTAGTGTGTCTAAAAATGGAAACATTTGAAGAACTAAACATCTTTCTGCATGAGTTCATCTCTTGTAAAGAAATGGGATGAAAACTCGTGACTCCATACTGCTCTTTTGATCCAATTAGTTTCAGCATTCCATAGTAATTCCATAAACTGTGACTGACTGCAAATCACACAAGTTAAAGGGTGATGTGATACAATAAAAACTAAAAAAGAATGGTTTATTGGATAAATGATAAATAAATAAAGGGAACGAGAAGTGGACTGAAACCAGAGAGCAAAGGAGACAATCCTAGCGTTAAGTCCAGTCGATATCACTGTTGTCTGTACTGTTTGTGTGTTTTGGTGCAATCAACTTTTTTTTGTGCCTGCTATTGTTTCAGGCTGCTTTGCCGACTAAAGAAACTCTTCAAATCGATATGAGAAAGAGAGGGGAAGAGTATTGGTTTTATCTAAGGCACTAAAGTATGTTGATTAAATGGATTTCACACTGTGGAGCAAATAGAGGGGAAACAGACCAAAGAGAAGAAGAGCTAATGTGCTGAGAACCACAGCAGGGGAGGATAGAATGTATACACATTTTTATTTTATGTACTGAGGCTAGTTATCCTAACTCTCATCTGAGTAGGCAGATCAGTAAAAATCACATACTGATTTACAGAAGGGCTTGGCAGTGGAGTGAGATGACAAAAGAGGAGAGGAGGAACACGTAGACACGAGTCCATTCAGGTCCTGAGACTCAGTGCCTGAAGGCATCAAACTGACACACAAAAAATCCAACCCAACCCATTTATACACAGTCACAGTTAACTACCTCACCTAATGGACTTAAATTACCACAATACAAAACCAATTCTTGTTATTATTATAAATTGTTATTTGGCCCTAAAACACTCCTATACACGAATCCCATATCTCACCACTGTACATGATGAAAAGCTGAGGAAGACATTAACAATGTACAGACTGTCCAGAGATCCTCGAGCACACAAATGAGGGTGAACTTTCTTACACTTGCACTTGCCACACCTCCTTTATACTACTTGTTCAATCACTCTGTGTTAATGCATATGTTCTACAGTTTGAAGTATTTGTTACCTTGTAAGTAAGGTATCAATTTCATTTCCTTATAAAATGGAATCATTTAATCATAAAATGTAGCTTTTGGCAATAATGTAAAATGAACATTCACGCTAATAAAGAGTGCTTCTGAGAGGAAAAGGGGGAAGGAGAGGAGAGCAAGGGAGGAGAGGAGCGAGGCAGAGATTAGAGTGGAAAGGGAGAGGAGAAGAAATAAAAAGAGGTGGAATGAGTAGAGCAAATAAGTACAGTGGGGAGAAAAGAAGAGGAGAAGAAATGACAGGAGAGGAAAAGGGAAGGAGAGATGAGCAGAGGAAATGAGAAAAGAGGAGAGGAGAGGAAAGAAGAAGAGAGGAAAAGAAAAAAGTGAACAAATAGAGTGGTGGAGAGAAGAATAGCAGAAGATATGGAAAGAAGGGACAGGAGAAGAAAGGAGAGAGCAGTGGAAAGAAGAGGTGAAAGGGAAAAAGTTCAAGGGTGCTAAGTGAGCGGGAAGGAGTAGGGGGAGGATAGATAAAAAAGAGAAAGTCAACAAATAGAGGAGAGGAGAGAAAAAGAGGAAAAGATAATAGAAGAGAGGAGAAATAGAAAAAGGAGAGGGCGAGGAGAAGAAATCAGAGGGGAGGAGAGAAGAGGACAGGGTTTTATTAGTGGATTTACTGTTTCACTGTGCCACATGAAAGTCCCCACATCATGTCATAAAGTTAAACTGCTCCTTTAACATGTTTGCCCTTTCCCCAAATCTACAACACCGAATAGAAACACCTTTAAAAGGTGAGAAAAGTCATGAAATTATTCATGGTTATCAATTTGGACAGTATAGAACTCCCAGTATGCACTTGGCAATATATCTTATGTAGTATGAAAAGATAATAGCAAATGAAAATAATACACATACAAACAAAAAAATAAATACTCCTGACCTTTCAAAATGTTAGGATGACTTAGCTGAGCCACGCTGGAGTACAAGTTAAAAATGAGCTCTGACGTCCTCACATTGAATCACTGCTCAGTCATTCATTCTGCTCAAAAGAGTACAGAGCATTTAACCTGATATGATATCTGAAGCATTTCATATCATTTGCTGTGGCTGCAGTACAGTACTTACAGACCGGGAGTCAGCGAGGCAGCTTCCTCCCCCATCAGCTCAACTGTTAAGAACTACAAATCCCAGAAGTGGTGGCCAGAAAAAAAAGGAAGTCCAACATCCAGTCCTTTGATAGAGAAATCAACATTGTGTGCAACAGGACAAACTAAATACACCCTTCAGAGATTTCAGCGACCCAGTGGGTGACACACAACCTGCTCCTGGAAATGTTAACACCTGCCCACATCTCACCCCATCTCTTCTCTGGTAATCTCTACACACAAAAAAACACCATATACACATTTGCAAAAACACACACTAATGCAAACCCACAGAAAGTGCTGCACACACACTTCCTGGGAGCAATAGCCAAAGGTCAGAGGGAGGTCACCTGCTGCTGCAGCACCGCAGGATGTACCTCCGTTTACTTCCTGATCCATGGCTCTCACTGTGTCTGTCCCAACCCCTGGCTCTGTTCAGAGTT